CCGCGGGGAAGCGGCGGGGAGCAGGTACCGGGATGGGCTGGGGAGGAGCCAGAGCGGGGAAAAGAGATCTAGAGGGGCTGTGGGACAGAACCGCAGGGGCAGAACCCCTGAAAGGACACAACTGCCGGGACAGAAACCCTAAAGACAGAATCTTAAGGGGCAGAACCCCTAAAAACAGAATTTTAAGGGACAGAACCCCTAAGGACAGAATCCTAAGGGACAGAACCCCTAAGGACAGAATCTTAAAAGATACAGAACCTGAGGGACAGAACCCCTAAAGACCAAATCTTAAGGGACCAGAACCCCTAAAGACAGAGACACAGAACCCCTAAAAACAGAATCTTAAGGGGCAGAACCCCTAAAGAAAAACCCCTAAAGACAGAATCTTAGGACACAGAACCCCTAAAGACAGAACCCCTAAAGAGAGAATCTTAAAAGACACAGAACCTTAGGGACAGAGCCCCTAAACACAGAATCTTAAGGGACAGAATCTTGAGGGGCAGAACCCCTAAAAACAGAATCTTAAGGGGGAGAACCCCTAAAGACAGAATCTTAAGGGACAGAATCTCAGAATCTTAAGGGACCAGAACCCCTAAAACCAGAATTTTAAGGAGCAGAACCCCTAAAGACAAAACCCCTAAAGAGAGAATCTTAAAAGACATAGAACCTTAGAGACAGAACCCCTAGAGACAGAATCTTAAGGGACAGAATCTCAGAATCTTAAGGGACCAGAACCCCCAAAAACAGGTTCTTCTTAAGGGGCAGAACCCCTGAAGAAAAACCCCTTAAGACAGAATCTTAGGACACAGAACTCCTAAAAACAGAATCTTAAGGGCATTCACAGGAGCAGCACAAAGAAATCAAAAGTGAGGGAAAAGTGGACAAAGGAAGAATTTGGTAGCTGGTCCAGGTGTGAGATTCTGTGGTTCCTTTCTGTGGAAATACAGGATAGTGAATGCTCCAGAGGCACCAGGGGGAATGGTTACCCATGGAATGAGGTGTAAGCCAGGAGTGCTGAGGGGCCTGGGATAAAAAGCCCAGTTACTTCTTTTTTTTTTTTTTTTGGCTCAAAGTACCTGGCTTTGAGAAAAATGAACCTGGAGTTGTTTGCTCCCTGTAATTTGGGCTATGATTTTTCTCCATCCTCCTGGATTTGTTAGAGGTTCCCTTGGAGATGCTGAACTCCAGGTGAAACCCTGCTGTCCAGAGGGAGCTGCTGGTGCAGGTTTGCTGTTCTCCCCAATTTACAGTGTTTCTCTTTTGAAGGGGATGAGCTGGACAGACCTGAGCTCCTTCATCCCCAGCTTGCTGAAGACTGGAATGCTGAGCTGGACTATGTGCTGGCTCTCAGCCTGCAGGGTGAGAATAATCCTCAGCATAACACTGCAGCTGACATTGCCAGGGATTCCTGGGAATGGGACTACACCAAAGAGCCTGGACAGTCTGCCCACCGTGGGGGAACAGAGCTGTCCAGCATCTCCTGTGACTCTCCAGGCTCCTTTAGCACATCAAACCACAGCAAAATAGGTATAAACACTGTTGTGGTGGGGGTTATCCTTAAATCTGAGGGGAGGGGAAAAGGAAAATTGGGATTGGGAATGTTAAAGATTATCTAAGTATTTTAAAAGGTGAAAATCAGTCATTTTGAGACTCCTAAAGCAAAGCAGCAAGTGAAGAAATAAAAGGTTATTAAATTAGTGGCTCTCTGACCTTGGTGCATGGTGGGAGCCCAGGTGGGGAACAAGGTTCTGTGGAAGTAAAAATGGTGGGAAGGAGGATCTGGGGGAAGCTGGAGTGCAGCTTGTTCTGAGAGGAGAAATGGCACCACAGGTTTCAGGGTGCAGCAGGAGGTTTTTATCAGGCACCACAGAGGGTGAAATCCTTCCTTCTCTTACAGACAAGGACATGACCATGTTGCCCTGCGAGTTCTGTGAGGAGCTGTGTCCTGCTGGAGATCTGATCCTTCACCAGGTTTGAGATTTCCTTGTGTCCTGGGGTTTGCAGTGAGGACTTTCTGTGGCTGTCACTGGGAGAACTCTGGCTCTTTGCCAAGGCCAGTGGTTTCCAGTGCCCACCTGGCTCATCAGGAAAGGTGATTTTTCCCATGTTGTTTGTGTAACAGACAGGGTGTAACCCAGCAAGTGCCTTTGCCTCGTTCAGCAAGAGAAGTTCTTCTCCAAGTCCGTGGGAATACAGTGGGGAGTCCAAGAGCCACAGGGCTGTCCCTCCAGCCCAGCCCCAGGCTGTGCAGGCAGAAGGAGACATCATGATTCCATGTGAATTCTGTGGCATCCAGCTGGAGGAGGAGATTCTCTTCCATCACCAGGTACTGCACAGGACAGGCTCTGCTGCTCACATCCCATTGTTTGAGGATGGGCCCAGTCCCAGGGGCTCTTGTGGCACATTCCAGGAATTCAGGGAGCTCAGAACTCCCCACACAAAGCTCTGGGATCCTTGGGAAGGGTTGTGCTGCACTGAGGCTCCTCTTGAAAAGTACTGGATTAATTTGAAAGCTCTTGAAATGAAACTAAACAAAAGGGCCTGAAGTTGCACAATCAGAACGTTTGAATCACACAGAAAATGAAGTTGAAGCCTGGATGAGTCAGCTGAGGGGAGAGAGGAGCACAAGGGTGAAACTGGGGGGGAGGGGAAGGAGGGAACAGGAAAAGAACAGACTCCAGCCCTGGGAGTGGCTTGCCCAGGGAAGAGTCCTCTGGAATCTGCTGCTGCTCCAGACAGGATGGGAGAATGCTGAGCTCACCCATTCTCTGTGCCACGGTTCAGTCACACCCCTGGCCCAACAAGCTGCTGAAGCTGGGCTTGGGTTGGCTGTTCTGGGCCTCTCCTCTCCTGGGGAACAGCAAAATCTGGGAATGAGATCTGATCAAAGTTCAGAGCTTATCACAGAATCCCAGGATGGTTTGGGTTGGAAGGGTGTTGAAGCCCATCCCATCCCAGCCCACCCTGTTCCATGGGCAGGGACCTTCCAGCAACCCAGGGTGCTCCAAGCCCAGTCCAGCCTGACAGGGGGGTGGAACTGGATGAGCTTTAAGATCTCTAAACCATTCTGGGATTCCACACTTCCCTACTCACCTTAACATCCCCAAGTGCTGCTGCTCTGCAGTTTTCCCAGGGGTTTTCACCTGACCAGCCCTGTGTGTTCCGTGCAGCACCACTGTGACCTGCGCCCTGCCAGCCCCACGGGTGGCACTGCAGCTGAGGAGGGGCCAGCCCAGCCCCATGGGGACAGACGGGAATCGCCAGAGCCCGCTCGGCGACGGATCCGGCACCAAGGTGTGGGCAGAGCACGGCCTGAGCTCCCTGGGGAGATGCTCTCACCCTGTTCTCCCTCAGAAATCTTCATCCTCTGCTCTTGGGCTGGGCTCAGGGAGGGAGGATTAAATCACTGGAATTCTGTCCTTGGGGTGGACACTGGGGTTGTTGCTGGTGCTGAAGCCGCTGTTCCTGTTGCTGTCCCTGCAGGAGATGTTTCCCCTTGGCACGCAGAGGGCTCTGGGCAGCGGGGGCTGTGCCCTGCAG